TGCAACCTCTTTGAAGGACAATTAGCAATTATAAGCAAATTTATGAATGTACCATCTTCTAAGAGGATTCTTTGATACAATTTGGAATTTTTTTTTTTTTGCACCATGTGCACATATTACTTTTCAATAAGAAATGTGTTAAATAATTTTTTAAAAATTAGCTCCTATTAACAGGAAGACCCTCTCATTCCGGCAGCAACATGATGTTATATCGTGAAATAGCCCTCCGCAGCAGTAGCCCAGGGTTTACTCTTCCATCCCACAGTCATCCAGATTTATTACAGGGTTCCAAGAGAAACTGCTTAGATCTATCTACTCATTAATATTCTTTTTTTTCCTCCCTCCTTCCCTTTAGTTCAAAAATAATTCAAGAGGACTGATGGGAACTTAATACAGGTGCTCCAAAACTAAAGTTAATTAAAGTTATTTGTACTAATTTTCACAATTCATATTACATTTTGAATACAGGAAACTTACCTTCTGAACTATGCTTCTTTCAGGCTATTTTAATTCATTTTCACTTCCTGAACATACACTGTGATAGTAGGAAAAGTGCTCCCAAACCATGGTAGCAGATTGGGAGAGACCAGCCAGTATTAAAAGTGGTTGTGGAGAAGGTACCCTTCAAATTGGGCTTAAGATTCCCTTCTGAGAATGAAAATTTGAAGAATTTTACTGTGATTGAGATCAGTAATCTGTAACAATAACATAACCAGAGATCGCCTTTTAATATTTGATTAGCATTTGAGTAATACCCCAAATCCAGTCAAGGTGACATGACTATAAATACAGAGAAGCAACACTTCTACATATGGCTCAAATTAAGAAAACTTAAACTTCATCACTTGTAATGAGCTCTTTTGGAAGGTAGAGTTATTAGGGGTAGGGAGTAGATGATGCCTGTAATAATCACTTGGACAGTGAGGTGGAAAGCAAGGATTGATTGGTTATGTGTCTCCAAGATGGAGCAGAGGGTCTTAACCAACCAACATTCAGTCTACTTGGAAATGTTTATTCCCATGGATAATATGTGTATATCAGGTAAAAGCCATTAAGGTTAACCAACCAGACCCTGGTATGCTCCCTGTGGCACCTACCCAGGTTTATTTGGCTTCTCATACAGGTTTAACTGCAGCCAGCCTAACTTGATCCATTCCAGTCTTATAAGACACATGAGTACTTTAGGAGTCATTTAGTTTTAACATCTTCCCAGTAAAAGAATATTCCCTGACTTCTTATCACTTCTTACCCCAGACTCACCGTCTATCATTCTTTTAAATAAACTTGTTCTGTCAGTCCCTGCATAAACTTTCCCTCCCACCTGCAGTCAAGATTTTATGAGGAGAAATTCTTCAGGCTTCTTTTAAGGTTCCTGAAACCCAAATCCACTTTTATCAGGAAAATAGTTAATGTTCTCACAACTTTATTTGGGGGAAGGAAACCAGTACAACTGTTACTTTAATTCCTTTATTTATCAATAGTATCCAAAAAAAAAAAAAAAAAATCAGGAGTTACAAAAACAAGTTAAATGCAATATGGAAGCCTACTAAATACATTTCACAAACACACAGGCAACAGAAACTTGTTCAAATTGCTTCTTGAAAATTGACTATTTAAAAACATAAGTGTAAAAGAAAGACATTCAGACTGGTTTACATGGGCTTATTAGCAGGTGGAGGAGCCCTGCTTTCCACAAACAGTGATGGAGTCCAGAGTCATGGCATGTGAGGTTTCCATGGACGCTGGATCTTAACAGAGGCTGTAATTAATGTTTATAAAACCTTATACACACAGAGAAAGCCTAAGGAAGCTTGTGGTCTAAGCCCTGTGCTTTTAGAGAGCTGGAGGAACTGAACCCAATTAAATCCTGTTTGCTCCATGCAAAGCTCTATGCAAGATTCCCCAAACTAGGCTATTTAGCAGCTTCTCATGGATGGTCATTAGATCATGTGATTCTATGGTACAGACAATAGCTTTCCTATTTACAGGAGGAATGCAGATTTGCTTTTGGGAATTCAATGTTGCAGGGTAGGGTAACTCTTGGAGGGCAACCACTGTCCTAAATGTAACTGACGGGGAGACACTCTGGCTTCTTGCTTTAAACTGGTACTCTTGCCCTTTCTCCCATAGTGTCCAAGGGCTGGCAAAACTTGATCAAGGTGTGCTGTTGTGTTCTCCAAGGCACTTGGACAGGAGGTGCATTTCAGACTGCACCTATGGGGTTTGAAAAGAGCTTTTAAAGTGGAATGATACATAAAAGCTCAGAATTTGAAACAAAGTGGAATGTTCTCCTTTCAAAAGACAGCAAGGAAAATTGTTTAGAAGAAATTCCATTTTCAGCACATCTTTCAGAGTTGCCTGCGCATACAACCTACATAATTTCCCTCTGGTGGTCTGTAATGTGCTTTCTGAAAATGAGATCTTATGTCAAGTTTTTAATCTTTATTATTCCAAATGGATCTTAAATATGGTATCGAATGGGTTAATAATCCTAGAGGCCAAAAGACACAGGAATATCTGACTTCCCCCAATCACAATTTTAAGATTTGATTTCCATTTTTTCCCTTCTTGAAATGTTAAACCTCTTTTTGTCTATCTTCTCTAAAGGAAAAGCCAATTCGGTTTCCAAGGTCAAAAAGGAAACGTAATAGTGAAGACAAAGTGGAGTGGTTCTTTCCCACTTTCTTCCTGGGCAGGCTTTACCCGAGAGGACTCTACATCACAGCACAACCTGTGGGGCCATTCAGACTGCGGGCAAATTTGGTCATCGTGTTTTTGGCTGCCTGACTCTTCTTGATATAACAACAAGGTTTCGTTTATCCTAAGGAGAGGAAGGAAAATCTTAGGAACCTGTCTCCTCTGGACCAATGATCAGAACCACAGAACTTACCATTTATGAAATCAAAAGGTTAATGCATTCCTACCTACTCACTGAGGAAAGTGAGGCCCAGAAATAAGAGAAGACAGGGACACAGTCACTCTCCTAGTTAGTGGTGGATCAGTGAGCATATTGATAGGCTGGAATAGCTAAGTCTTACTTGGCTGCGCTTGTCTCCATTCTTTGCAATACTGATTTGCATGAGCTTATCAGAATAAATGAAAACAAATTAGCTTTTCTAATCTTGAAAGCTTTGTATGGAGACACTTCTCTTCCCCTGGCTTCTATCTGAGGTGCCTGCTGCTCCTCCAGACTGACTGCTGAACAACTGCAATCCACGGGGGAACTCTGGGCTGCAGCTAGTATGTGGCAGGGTAGGAGAAGTCTGGGTTATAGCAGTCCCTGCACCAGGAAGAACCCCAAACTCTCCCACCTCTGAAATGATAGGGCTATGAAGAAATAATTACAAAAGCTTAATTTCTAGTCAAGAAAATAAAATATTAAAAAAAAAAACACAATAATATAATGATTATAATTGAAGAATGAAGTCAACTTGCCAAAAAGAAGTTTTACAGAAAAATAGCACCTTTGGTAAAAAGTATTTTTAAAATTTGGTTAGGTCTCTAAGGGGCTGAAAGTACACAAGTATCTGCATCATTTGGGTGCACCCTCCCAGAAACTCCATCAAGTCTGAGGGACACTGGGTAATCAGCAGGATGGCCGTGTATCTAGAGGCAGTGGTTGGGGCCATGAAGAGAAGCACAGATGCTGGAGTCTGTTATGTTGATGGCAGTGGAAAGGGCTGGAAGCAGAATACATTCTTCTCCACTGAGCTTCCCAAACCTTTCCTTTAGGGACAGTTAAGTTCTCTCTGGCATTGCTTGCACTCCATGCAGTGTGTTTATAGCTTTGGTAGACTCAGAAGTGGTTCAGATCTGGGTCTGCTCCTCTCCCAACCCTGATGCACTTTCCTCACTTGCCTCCAGCCCCCGAGCTCCATTTATACAGTTTCTCTCAAAGCACTCCTAGAAGGGAAGGCTTTGGCCCTTCCCTTCCTAGCCAGCCACCCTCATTTCCTTTATTGCAAAACAAATAGACAAAATAAAACTCATTGCTATACAAGCAAATACTGGTGATTTGGCAATTGTAGCAGACACTTGCGTATACTGGACTCAGCACTGAAGTAGAAGAGAAGGTGCCAGGCTCTCGACACCATTGCCAGATGCCTCCTCATTAGATCTCTTTGGTGCTCACTCTCTTGGATTTTTCAGCTGTTTCCTTTGAGAAGCAAGAGAAAATAAGCATTATGAAATATAAAAATATTATTGACATTTATCTAGTCCTCAAGACTTTGTATAGCATTGACAGATACACATCTATGCTGAATTTTAGTTCTGTCTATTTGTCTTTGTGGATGGCAAACAATATGAGGGCAAGAATCATGTCTTATTCATGACATAGTACTCCCATGAAACAATCAGGTCAGACATTATTCTCCCCATTAAAAAAGACAAACAGGATACTAAGTGGAAGTGCTACGAGATGTCCTGACCCAAGTGCAGAGAAGCATTAAGAGCAGCAGGCTCTGGAGGTTTGAGATTGAGTTGTGACTGTGATACTTTTGGGGAGGCTTTGGGCATACTATAAAACCTTCTGTGCCTTTATGTCTTCAACTAAAATATGAGGTAATAAGGTACCCCCTCTTACAATGGTGGTACATTTCTCCAAAGAAGTCATTCTTATGGCCAATGAGCACAGGAGAAAACGTTCAACATCATCAATCATTAGGGAAATGCAAAACTACAATGAGATGCCACTTCACACCCACTAAGATGGCTAAAATAAATAACGGACAATGACGACAAATGTTGAGTTTGCGGAGAAATTAAAACACTGCTGATGAGGATGTAAAATGGTACAGCCACTTTGGAAAATACTCCAGCAGTTCCTCAAAAGATTAAACACAGAGTTACCCTATGATCCAGCAATTCCACTCCTAGGTGTATACCCAAGAAAGTGAAAACACTTCCACACAAAAACTTGTACAAGAATGTTCATGACAGCATTATTCATTAGTCAAAAAGTAGAAACAACCTAAATACCCATCAACTGATGAAGATACACAAAATGTGATATATCCATACCATGAAATGTTATTTAGCCATAAAGATTAAAGTACTGATTGATGCTACAAGAATAAACCTTGAAACCATTATGCTAAATGAAAGAAGTCAAACAGAAAATGCCATATATTATATAATTCCACTTATATGTGTCCAAAACAGGTAAACCTATAGAGTTAGAAAATAGATTAGTGGTTGCCAGGGGTTGGGGGAGGAGAGAATGTAGAATGACTTCTATGGGTGTGGGGTTTCTTTTGGGGATGATGAAAATGTTCTGAAATTAGATAGTGATAATGGTTGACAATCTCATGAATATACTAAAAACCATAAACTTTAAAAGGGTGAATTTTATATGTGAATTATATCTCAATACAAAAATTAGGAAGTAAGAAGCACCAAGCAGCAACAGTGCCTAGCATCTAGAAGACACTGTATGGTTCCTATCCATGGCCCCTTGTCTTCACCATGTCAGTACACTGGCATGGCTTCTGACTGCCAGCAACTGCATCTCTTTGCTTGAGGCTTTCTTTGGCTTCTGGGCCTGTTTCGCCCACACATACTGGCAGGCCAGAAATGCCAGGTAATTTAGGTTTGCTGGTGGCAGCCCTCAGCCAATGGTTGACTGACTCTCGTGTACCCAGTTGCCTTCCCCCTCCAGCATGGTATGACTGTTCCCAGAGTTCCGCATCAGGACTAAGCTCCACTTGCCCACAGTGGTAACTCTCCTAAATACACACTCTTTATTGCTTCCTTCCCTTCCTGGGCTCACTTCCCAACTCCCTTCTGGTGTTTCCTGGGATTGCCTCCCAAATAAACTATTTGTACTTGAGTCCTTGCCTTTGCATCTGCTTCTGCAGAAACTCACATAAGACAGAGATCCTTAAAAATAAGAGCTATTATAATTCACTTTCCACTATCTACCCTGATCATATCTCCACCCTAGATAGAAGGAATTCCTAGGAAGTTCTTTTGCTGTTGTGGAGTGGTACTCATCTGGAGACTCAAGGCTGCTGAAATGTGGAAATACAGAAGGATAGGAGATTTTGCTTTTGCTTAAAAAACTAACATAAGGTTTCTACATTATCAGTCACAATAATGACAAAATTCATATGAAAATCAAATATGAGCAATTGTTATTTTTGAGCAATTATTGTTAACAGTTCTTGATTTTCAAGTCAAATATTTTATCTCAATAATTTAGCAGTTCTTGTGATTGTAATATTCCTTAAAATCTTCTGTCAGAGAGAAGGCTTCTGACAGGTGATCTAAAGTGCAATATCCTTTAAGACTATCTGGTGAACCAGTGAAAAGACAGGCCTGGGAGTCCAGCATACCCATGTTTTCTCTCCAGGCCCTTAGCAAAATATGCCAGTGGACCACTATTCTTCTAAGAACCTTTGCCCCAAGAAGGCCTTCAACTTTCATTAACAGAATTCTTTCCTATTATCTTCTCCAGTCTCCAGGAAGCAGAACCTTGAAGTTCTCTGTGTTTGTCAATTCCTGGCTGTTTAATCCTTTCTGCTGGAGTCCAAAGCCATTAATTTCATGCTCATTGAAAGCCAACTACATACCTGTGCTAAATGCAGGGATGCAATGGTGAGCAAGCTATAGAGCCTGCCCTCCTGGAGCTCATAGGCTTTGGGTCTGGGCATTGGCCACGGGCCACGACGGGGAAACAGTAACACTTCTTTAGACTGTACTCATTTGCAAACCACTTCCAACCCATTTGCAAATCACCACCTGTCTGATTCTTACTTATAAAGCAATTTACCAAGTTGTAACCCACACTTGCTGGGACTTGTAGGACCCTGCAAAGACCCTATCAGGGAACTGTATCTTGGTTTGATACTATAGATATATTATCCAGGACCTATTATATTAAACAGAGTGTATCTCTTTGGTCCCCTGAAACATCAGGCAATGCCTGAGTGGTGGAAGGGCCTGGTGGCAGCAGAGATACCTGACCCAGCATGGAGGCTGCAACTCACCTGGTGCTTTTGGAGCTCCTGGACATATCTGGTCATCTCCTCCTCTCTCTGGGTCTGGGCCCCTTTCTGATTCTTTCCTATAAGAAGAACCAAGGCTCAGAGCAGTGGTGGCTGAGGCGAGCCAGTTGGGGATCCCACAAATATCTACTTTCTAAGTTCTTAATTTTATCTCCCATTTAAATGGTGGAAGAGGGGAACTACCTGAATTTCTACAAATATGAAGAGTCCAAGTGCTACTGACACCTCCAAAGTAACTCACTGTAAGCAAAGAAATCTACCCCACTCTTCTCTGGTTTGCATTCCTACTGCCTTCAACTGCTCCAGCGCATCCATGCCAGGAGCTGAGCCTGCAGGAAGAGCTACGGATAAAATCTGGATCCTGACTCAGGAAGTTCTTCTGGGTCAGTGATTCTCAACCTTCATGTGCCCTCATAATGTCCTGGAGAACATTTAGAAATATAATTTCTTAGATTCCACCTTTGGAGACTCTGATTTAATTACTGTGAGGCGGGGCCTACGCACTAGGGTTTTATAAGGACTCTCTAGGTGGTTCTAATGTACAGCTGGGGTTAATAACCACTGCATCTAGCTATGTTTCCCAAACTTACATAGTGATTAAAAAAGAAAACTTAGAATACATCTTAAAAACAAAGGTTCCCAAGCTGCTCTTTTACAGATTCTGATTCAGTACGTTTAGGATGAAGCTCAGGAACCTGTATGTTTATCAAAAAAGAGTTTGTTAGGAAACACTGCTCAGTCACACCTTCCCGACTTCAGCATTAGGCTGCCCCTCATGGCAGTTTCTCTCAGCTCTGGCCCCAGCTGGCTTCACATCTCAGTGCCTCTTCTTCTTTGCTCTATTGCCATTTGTGATCTAAGACCAGACTAACTTTCAGGTACTGACCTGAAAATGCCTTGGGATGCCACCACTACAATGTCCTCTCAGATCCATGGCCCACACACTAAGACGTGCTCAGGTCTCTGGGGCACCACCATCGAGTGCTCTTTATACTGTAGAGCTCTGAACCCGGGCCATCCAGTGAGGATAAACAGTCTAGTGTATCTGTGGAAACGGGCATCATCCATGGGTGCAATCATCTGGATTTTGTCTGTTGCATGTGATGAGGCTTATTATCTAGATGATCATAAATCAGCCATTTACCAACTGCCTCCATCTTAGAAATGGATGGCTACCTTTACAAAGCTAGGAGCAGTTAGGTGTGGAAAGCTACTGCAGCAAGTTTTGGGAAGATGGGTAGAGGGTGCTTCCTGGTTGGGGTAGGCTGGGCACTGTTTTGAGATGTTCTCTCTTGGCTTCAGTAGCTATTGTGTGCTCGGCCTGGCTACCCTGGCTTAGTTTTGGCCTTCAGCAACTTTGAGGCATTTCTAGTCTCTAAATAGCCTCTTCCTGCTCTTCCACTTGTCTCTGGAGTTAGGTTGGTCTCCCGCTCTCCCACTCTGAGAAGAGACTTGGTCCTGGGCAGTGGGAGACTAGACATCCCTTGGTTAGTACTGAGTTCTACTAGTACTATTGGTGTTGCCTGGGCTTCTTGTCTAGAAGAAACTCTTCCTGGGTTCTTGACCTCTGTCTCCAGTTACCAGCTTACTTGACCTTGAACATGATCCTAGAACCACCCTGCTCTTTCTTATCTCTTGACTTTTTAAGATATAATTTTAGGTTCAGTCCACCTGGTATAAATTTTGGGCTTGATTCCTTCCAAGTGACCATTTTTCTCAGACTGAATGTGACTTGGCTTCACTCTTATGTCTTGCCTCTATCTGAATACTAGGGCTCAGCTTTGATTAAAGAGTCCCTCTTATCTTTGACATCACTGTAGCTCAAGACCGTGATAAGACTCTAGTGGTTCCAACATACTCTTGGGCTTCTTCACTGGCCCCCAAACTCTAACATCTCTATATCCCCAACCCACTCTATGTCTCAACTACTTCAAACTTCTCTCTCTCTCTCTCTCTCTTTTTTTTTTTTTTTTTAGTATTACCCAATTCTGTTAGTTCAAAGAGGGTCTACAAACATTTTTCCTTTTACTGCTGAGGACAGATGACAAGGAGTCGTCATTTTGTCTATCAAGGAGTCTTTTAGATAAAGGATTTCCTAAGTTGTCATAAAGGTTAAATGAGTTAATATGTAAAGTGCTTAGAAGAGTGCCTGGCACACAGTTCTCACTAAACACACGTTTGCTTTTATTATTATTTCTATTCCAATCTTGTATTAACCTTCGATCTTTCCCTGGGTCTTGAACCTCTTTTGTTCTGAGCTCTGGAGTGATTTTCAAACTTTATGTGTCTGGGATAAATGCTTTGCCCTCACTACTGCTCCCTGGGAACTCTGACCTTACAAGTTTGAATTTGTCACTTTCTCCTCAAGTTCCTTGCTCCCAGCCATTGTATTCTTCTCCAACATCCCCACCCTGACTCCTCTTGTGGTGATTTCATGAAGGAAGCTCCCTCCTGGCTGTTCCTTCTTCCCGCCTGAGGCACAGCTCACCGTCACAGGTCATGGCTGTGCAGACCCAGTTCCCGCAGGCGCAGACGCAGCGGTTACATTCCACCTCGGTCTCGGCTCCATCTGCATACGTTTCGTCCTCCAGGGCACACTCTGTTGGCACCAGAAATAAGGGACAACAGTTTAGAGTGAAGGTGGAACACAGTGTCTTGGCTACAGTCTGTGCACTTTACCCTTTTCCTAGACAAGAACTGCCTGCCCCTCAGAGGCACTATATTTGAGCAAATGCTACCATCAACCCAGAGGTTTTGAGACCTGAACATCACCATGGAGATGATGGGCTGGGGCCTAATCTCGACTCATGGAAGGGGAATTTTATTAGCAAGCTCTGGATAATTCCATCAATTCCCTCAAAATGCTCCCACTCTCTACAACTCCTTATTTCTCAGGTTAAGCATACTCTTCTCTGGAGGGTTGAAGGATGGGTTGAGGCACTGGAGGAACTCTTGGAAGCTGAGTTTCCAGTCAGCATTTTCATCAGACAGTTCAATGAGAGCATCGACACAGAGTCCTCTGAAACAAAACACAGGAGATATGTTGTCAGCCAGACCTCCGCTTCACTCCCAAAGAAAGGAAATAAGCCAGGATCATATACATCTGGGGTTCCAGAGGAGGCCAAGAAGGCAACTGTCAATGGAGAAAGTTTCTCTCTACACTGACTTCCCACAATCATTAACCATTCTGATTCCTGTAAGCATCCAACCTTTGGTTATTATACCAGATGTTAGATCCATCGAGCCGTTCAAATGTTCCTTCCCAAATGACAAAAGTTTCCTGAATAGTCTTGTCCACTTTGATTGACAAATGTTTCAATATCTGCACATCTTCCACCCATAATTGCCTTTCCTCATAGTATAAATGTCAAGCCAACCAAACTAGGAAAATTGAAACAGAAGAGAAATAGATGATATGAAAGGAATGTGTGACTTCGAAGAATATGGAATTCAGCAAACCTCACCACTATTACCATTCTAGCAAGAGATGTTTCAGAAAAGTTTTATAGAACACCAGCTACCTCACTCTCCCCATAGCCTGGATTTAAGCCCTAGCTTAATCACTACCCAAATGGCCTAGCGCTAGTTATTCAACCTTTCTGCGCTTGTTTACTCATCTGTAAAATGGGGACAAGGAGTCTTCCTTCACTGGGATGTTATGAGGATCAAACGGTAAACTTATAAAATATTGTCTAATTTTAGGTTATCAAAATATAAAGAATTCTCAGATACTATACTTTAAAATGATGGACTATTATTAAGAAAGAATCCGTATAGAATCTGGGCTTCATGCTTTATACTTCTTTTGAATGAAGAGCTGCTTAAACTATTTTTAATTCTTACCAGTGTACTAGAATCACACCAGAAGTTTCTTAGTTCATTTTTATTAACATTTACTGTGGACTAATACCAGAGAAGGAGAGGGACATGCTCACATTTATAACAACTAGGGTTCTCTACAGGAAATTGCACCAGTTATCTTAAAAATCAGAACTAAAGCTATATATTAGATTTACAGTTAAGTGATACATTAAAGTAATTCCTTCAGAAAATTAGCCATTAAAACATTACCCACAACACTCAGAAACAACTTTGCTCTGAGGCGACCTTGGTAATTTATTTTAAAATTATATTCTTATATTCCTTGCAAGTTCTAGCCAAAAACAATAACTATTTGATCAAATACCAGTGCTGCTCAATCTATTAGTTCATAATGTTTGTAATGATCACATAATAGACCAGGACAGAATTCCTATTTTGCTTTTTTTACTTCGCACTGGCACTGGTGGCTCCTTTGCAGGTAGAAAGGGTTCAAATCCCCTCTCCTATCCAGCCTTTCCCTCGTGGACCACTCCCTGCATCCCTTAACTCCACTCACCTGAGTAGCTTGTTGTTCTCCTGATCTGCATAGGTGGTGATGTTGATGGCGGTTTCATTCTGCTCCACAAATTTCAGGAATTCACTGGAGTCCAAGCGAGAGTCACCATTATCAAAGTTCTAGAAGGGCGATGAAGAGATCTTTCAAGAAAATGTTGTAGAACCCAGTTCCATCAATTCCCCCACTTGGCTCAACCTATCTCTGGTTCCTCTTGTTCTTGACATATTCCAACCCTGCCCTGGCCTACGAGAGCTATAGCAACAAAGGCTTGAAGTCCTAGGGCACCAGCGAAGGTACCTGCACCCAAAGATGTGAGTGAAAGTGCCTGGGCAGAGGTCATTGGGGGCCTTTCAAACTCAGTTCCCCCTCAGGAGGACAGACAGGCCTGTGCTGCCCGAGAAGTCAGGTCTGGGGAGCTTGAGAATGCTCTGCAACCCCACTCCTGACAGTCCCACAGTCTGGACTGCACCCTGGGATCGGTCCAGCCACCATGTCTCATTCTCAAACGTTAACAAACATATAACAACAAAGTTGAGAGTCAGAATCTCTGTGGTGGAGCCCAGGATGTGTATTTGTGCCACACTGCTGTGAGATGATGACACCAGTGGCCCTCAGTGCTCACTTTGGGAATCACAGGACCATTTCTTGCTGCCTGATTGCCGGCCTCCCTGGCCACTCTCAGTGTTTAATTTTCACACTGGCGCCCCTAACCGACCACATCAGTGAGAAGTCAAAGGTAAAGGGCCTGCACTGATAACCTGCAGATGGAGGTGGTGCAAAGTGCCCCCTCCTTTGCCCAATGCTGTGGGCCCCACTACAGACATGTGCACCGGTCCTTGACTTACTCAGCTCAGGATACCCTCACGACCTAGCTGATATCCTGTGAGCATGAGGTGAGGGTGTAGCAAGCTCAGGCATTGTTCCTACTTTGGCAAGATGCTAAACTGAGACTTTAGCCTTCTGGGACCATTGAAGACACCCAGACCGAGCTGCAGGAAGAGGGTGTCAATTTCAAGGTTCTGATCAAATTCCAAATTGGATACTGCTGTTTTCTTAAATGGTTCCCACGGGGAAAAATCTTTTTTCTCCAAAATTCTTTTCCAAGACTGCTTCCTATACCCACCCTGGGAAGTAACCCCATTATACATCCAGGTTTCTAGGTAACAGGTAAAGATAATAGCCACTGACTTTCCTTCCGTAACTGTTAGGGTCACATGTATTCCACTCTAAGGTTGAAAATCTTTCCCTTGCATATACAATGACGGGAATGTGCAAGGCAATGATATAGGCTCTTGTTTAGTACCTATTCATCATTCTTGTCCCAATTCCTAGGAACAAGTTTCAGATATTCCAGTCACTATATACTCACTCTGAGGAAACTTCCCTAAATGTTCACCTTGTGAGGTTTGATCAGTTAATGGAGAGAAATGATATCGGGTTGGCCAGGTACCATTCTTAGCAGCATGGGGCTTTCTCGAGTCCAGATGTTGCAAATACTGGACAGAGCGGAGCTACTCACAGACCCCAGCACCATCAGGGCCTGAATACAGGGGGAGTGTCGGGGGGAGGAACAGTCCAGCAATGGCTGTAGACCCAGAGGGTACCAGGGGCACCCGGAACCCAGCAACTACAACTCAGGCAGCTCCCAAAGGGCAGTGCTAAGTGCACCTGCTTCACATTCGGTGGGACCAGAATCCAGGGCTGAAGCTGAGGGAGGTGCCAGCCTGCCTACACTCATCTCATGAGGGCTCTATTGGGCTTCTTCAGGCCAGATTTGTATGTGGAATCCACAGGAAAACAGAGGTCTGTTACCTGCCCCAGAAACAGCCTGGAATGACTATGGGGCCTGCCTGAGGGGTCGTGAACTTGGACCATGAGTCAACCTAATTCACTTGACCTCTGTTCAACCAACCATTTACAAAGGCATAGTGCCTGTGTATACCTGCATTTCCCAGCTATATACTTGAGATAAGGCTTTTCTTCTGTGTAACCATAGTGTTGTTAAAAGGCAGGAAGATTTGTCACGAGACCCACATTTAGGGGTTTACTGCAAGTTTGGAGACTGTTTGGGCTGGGCCAGGTGCTCACCATGCATAGCATCTGGGGCAACGGGGAACGTAATACTTGGGGAAGGGAGATAAGAAGGCTGGCTCCAGTTTCAGCCCTGGCCACCAGGAGTCTGTGTGTGTGCGTGCACGCATGCACGCGCCATGAAAGGCGCTTTTTACCCGAGTCTTCCCTTCATTCTGCTACACTTTCACCTAACAGATAGTGACTGAATCACCAGTTGAAGGGACAGTCTGATTTTGGTCTTACCCAGATTCTGATTACATTTGCTTTTCAACTAATTTTGATAAAAGGAATGCCAGCTGGGCTAGAGGTCAATTCACTGGGTCAGAAACAATATCTGTGAGATATCAGATCTCTCACCAACAAGCAGCTGTTAGCTTAATGGAGGGACGCTGAAGACTGCACCACACGGGACTCAGATAATCATCAAAAGGTGGAGAGTGGAATCCCTACCGGCTCGGAAGACACTGCCAGAGTGTCTGGGAAGAGTGAGTGCTGTGTCAGTGATGATCGAACTTCCTTGGTTGGCAGTGAGAATGTCCTAGAGAAAAGCTACTTACTCAAGGGGACTTGTAGGTTTCCGACAGGAGCCTGTCAGAAGAGGTTGCCCTGTGTCGAGAGGGGTTTGGGACTTAGATGCCTAGGAATCAAATTAATAGCCGGTGTCAGTGATGTCCAGGACAGGGTGCCACCAAGGAGCCACTACGAATGGCTATGAGATCCTGAGGCCCTTCAGAAAGATTGTCTTGGGCCCCACAATTTCCATGCCGTAATGGCCATGGCAAAGTCCCTGCTCACAGCACACCCTGCAGGTGCCACTCACTCAGCTTTTGAGAAATCATTTTAAGTTACTTTCTGCTCATGTCGAATTCTCCTGGTTCAGCACTATGATGTGTTTTGCTGTAGGTGAGTGACCACCCCCTGCCCCCAGAGCTCTATAATGTGGGAGTGGTCAAGACAGAGGACAGAGTGAGAAGGGCTGTGCTTTCTCACCCACCTGTCATCTCAAACATGTGGAATCCAAAGAGATATACTTTCTGCCATAGAGGAGAGAACTCTCTATCTAAAGACAATAACACATACATACACAAAAAAATAAAAATAAAGACAATAACACAAGTGAATTTCAAATGACTACCCTATTTCAGCCCAATCCAATGTTTTCCATCTGCGTCCATAACATCAGTTAGAAAGAGGACTCCATAGACTACAATGGTGCTGACCACATCTGGTGGCCACAGAGCTGCCAAGAAGTCTCTCGTGCATCTGGGGTTGCTCCTGAGTTCAGGCTGGTTGGGCGCTGGGATGGCAGGCCCTGGAGGTGCTCAAGGGCGTCTATGTCTGGGCATGAGCGTCTGAGGGCATCGACCCAGATGTGTGTCTGTAAGTGAAGGGGCTTTTGTGCTTATGTGGGAATGTTGGTGACTGAATGTGTGTCTGTGAGGAGGCTGTATCTCTGTAGGGCGTGCACCTCTCTGTAAGTGGTGTGAGTGTTTGTGTGCACTATTGCATTTGATACGTTCATCTCTAAGTGTGATGTACATATATATGTGTGCGTCTGTCCTCATCCATCAACTGGAAGAGCGCCTTTAACTGCTTCTTCCAACAACTGTCTCAAGTTCTCTGAAAGATCTCCATGCCATTGGAGCCCTGCTCATTTCTAAGTACTACCTCCTCCTTTATTTTCCTTTTTGAAATCAGCATCTCTCCCGTCCCTAACTGGAACGATATGCCTCTTCAACTAAATATGAAGGGAGCAGCAATATCTAGGTTCATGAAGGATCCTGGGCCCATGAAATGCCAGTCCACTGCCTCTTCTCAGATGAAGAGGAGCTCTGCAGGCCAAGTTAATGACTTGGAGAAATGTCAAAGTGGGTGAGAAAGAGGCTGAAGCGTCCTGTTTCTGGGTGAGATCAGGAGATAATTCGTATGGACAGCCAGATCTATAAGGTGTCTTACTGGCCATATTTTTCATGGACAGGCTCTCTAAGACCTTGTGGTTTTATTTGCCCAGAGGGCACATATGTGTTAGATCCCAGAGGTTCTACTGCTGGACTCCCACTGACCAAGCTGGTCAGAAGGCAACTGTCTCAGCTCCACGGAATGATCTGCGATGAGGAAGCACACCGTGACTCTGCACAGGTTTACACTCCTCGTGGTTGGGGAAGATGCGACCAGGCAATGGGAGAGGACATCTCCCTTTCTCTGGGACTGACCAGTCTTTGACCCCAACTCTGGATTACCTTAAAGTACTTGTCTAGGATTTCACTGTAGTTGCTGCCTTTAGAGAACCAGCCGTCTGGAATGATCTCTGCTTCCAGCCACTGGATGATGCGACGCCGGAGCTCATCGCGGTTGGACTGATAGCAGACAACTGCAGGAAAGGGGAGGGAGGTCTGCTGGGTGGAGAGGACCCCAGAGTCACCCAGCACCCGCTACAAGGGAGGCTTGTGCCTGGGACTCCGTGTGTGTCATCACTTTGAATTTCCACAGCACTCAGGGAAACAAGATGATCACACATGTGTCACAGAGCAACAAAGCCCAGGTATACACTGGAAAGTGTCTAAACCAGGAATCAAGCTCATGTCTCTAAAAAGTTTATAAAGATTGAGAATACTGAGAAAGAGAGATTATGTTGCTTAGCTGAGAAAAAAAAGCAGAGCAGAAAATTAAAGGACATTTTCATTAACTTTGGGAAGCAGAAGGAAAAAAAGTCAATAAGACAGCTCTCTGGCTTGAAGATGAGTCGAAACAATAAGTGAATAAAAGGGAACATTATAATTGTTTATGCCAGTGGATTTCTGATTCTCTCTGCATAGCTTTTCCTTCTCTCACCAACTAAGTCTATCAAAACTTTCTCCCACTCAAATTTTACACTGCTTATATTGTCCTTTATTATAAACAATAGAAAACTGGGCCAAGGAAGGGCCATGTTGAAGCCGGCTCTGGACAGCTGTTGTAAGCCACATGGAAAGAACAGGTGGGGCCGAGAGTTAAGTGAATAGGGAAGTAGAGAAGGGAAAGACTCGGCAAAAGGGAATTCCTGGAAGACAACACATGTTGGGATGTGAGAAGGGCACTGAGCCAGGGCAATGAAAATCTGGGCGCTTCTCCCCTCTCTACCACATCTTAGCTGCGTGCGTAATTCAGGGAAATTCGCTTGGCCTCTCTGAGCCTCAATTTCCTCACCTATAAGGTAATTACAGTTAAGATCTACCTCACAAGGTTATTTGAAGATCTAAGGATAAGTATATGCTAAAGGGGTCTATAACTATAAATCACGATGACATTTTACTTTTTACTCATAGAAAATTAAGGACGAAGTCTTACTGGCATTTCCAATTATCCCCTTTCAAAAAAAGAGCCTTCTGATTCTGTTTGTCCCATGACATCAGCATGTTCCATATAGCACTGAAGGAAAGAACTGGTGGCTTTCATGTCTTTGCAGTTCAGTCACTACTCAGCAAAAATGGAAAACACGGTCTACATTCTGACTTAACCAGTTGCTTCAAATGGCAAATACACAAAAAATGCAGTTTTGTAACTTTTCTGAGCTGTGTTGAGGAGCAACCAGTTCTGGTTCACAAGTGCTGACACAGAGAAGGTACTGTGACCTTCAGCAGGGAATGTAGAACATGAAATTTCTGTCATGAAAAGAATTTCCTTTCTAAGATGCACACTATAGGAAAAAAAGGCACTCACCTGGGCTGGCAGATGGGCTTACAGATTTCTTCTCTGCAAGACAAAAGGAGAAAATGCATAATGCAAAGTGAAGAAAAAAGAAAATTTCTGTGTGTTACTAGGATTAAAACTGCCTCATATTTAAGGGGCCCGCTTACAACCTTTTCATCATTTTGTCTTGAGTCCTTGCCCCATTCCTTCTTCTAGAACCCAAGTATGTGGATCTTTCCTCTCCTGCTTTGTTTGACATTTTGGGGCCACTGAGTTGCCCTCTTGGTCTCACACCTTGTCCTGTTAGGCTGAGGGGTGGAGGGGTCACTGGGACTTTGAGAATTCACACGGAATCATTATAGACAGGGAAATAGAATAGAGACCAACATGTGGGAAACAGGTTCTTGTTTCTCCAGGGAAGTTCAAGGCTGAGAGGGGCCAGGCAGGGTGGCTGGGTGTCTAATTAGTTCTAAGCTTGGGACCCTTTCTCTGTTATTCTAATGGCAATGGCTTGAGTGCAAAATAGAGGAAATATAATGCTACCAGGACTGAGAAGTGCCCAAATTTAAAAAGCATGGGGAAAGTGAAATTTACCTGCTTTTTAAAAAGGTACAGAATTCATTTAAACACTTTCCTATTATTATTGTTGTGGTCCCTTATCCACTATCCAGCTGCAGACTGAGCTGGAAGCCTATCGGGGAATCTAATGCAGGAAACCCTGGGCAGAGGCCTGGGGCACCCAGGGCGAATCCAGCAGGCTCCTGAATGCCAAGAAGGTACGCCTCCAAGAACCCAGGTGGTCTCCATGGCTTTGGGTGCTGTGGTCAGAGTGGAAAGGACTCTAGGAATCCACGCCGCACTGCTTAGTTCCCTGGCTCCCCACGGCTGCAGTTAGGATATAGTGAGAGCACTCCTTACCTTTGCAGTGTCCATCATAATCGACCTGGATTTTGGATCCAGTGAGGCAGGCATCTCGATGCAGCTCACAGTGGTTGAGGTAGGTCTTGCCATTGCTGCCGCACACAGGCCTCTTGTGAGGTTTGCATTGCTGAAACAGACCCGCAGAGGATGTTTGTGCAGCCAAATGTGCCAGCACACGCATAAGCATGTGCACACGCACGTCGACCCATCTTGTGAGGGGACTTCCACCAGCAGAGATGGCCTCTATCCAATCAGGGCATAGGGAGCCCCAGCTCCGGCATCAGTAGCCCTACCCACTCAGTGTCGGAGGCACCCCATCACCTTGCATACCCTCTATGCTGATCCTGGTTCAGAGTCATCTATTCCGTGGAAAAATAGAACCCTGTGCCCACCCTCCACCCCCAGTCCAGCTCCTATCAAATTAGCAGGAAAGGCATTTTATTAGAAGTCAGGAATTTGGATTCTCCATCACTTTGTCACTTTGTGGAAAGTCACTCAGTGTCTTTGGATAATCTAAGAACATTTAAAATTTCAACATTCTCTGACACAAAACAACCAGAGCTGAGAGCTGAGAATGTGGAGAAACTGAAAAGCAGGCACCCCCAACCCCCATTTCTTCAACTTTTCTGAACTATAAGGATCTTTGCTCTTTTGCTTTGTTTAGTATTTTGGGGCCATTCTGTTTCTCTCCCAATCTTATAATAACTGTTGCGAGGCGGGCAGTGGGGGTGCCTGGGTCTTCGTGAAGTACTACAGAGAATCATTATGGACAAGGAAATGGATTAAAGTTCACTTGGCAACTCGGTTCTACTTCGGCTATTTAAAGTGCCATGGGCACAGGCAAACTCAGTGTCTTAAGACTTTTGCGGTTTTTGAAAGGAGGGAGGGGGAAGCAAGTTCAGCTCAAACCTAAAAAAGGCACCAAAGCAAGAAAGAGGAAATACGGTGAAAAGAAACAGAACAATGGAGCTGGGACGTAGCACAACCTCTCTAGTTTACAGACGAGAATACCAAAGCCAGAAAGATAAACTGCACTTAATCAATACTTATTACTGAGTCCTCACTACGTACGGGGCCCTGGGCAAGGCCAAACATAATTTCTGTCTTCCTGGCATCCAGTGGCAAGTAATTCTCTCAAAATCATACAATCATGTGTGGCCGAACTAAGACTAGATGCCGGGTTTCTGGACTCTGAGTCTGGCTCAAGCTACCCACAGTGGCTAGGTATAACTCCAGTGAGGCCCTGCCAGGGTCCCCAGAAGATCTTATTTTCAGGTTACAGAGTTGGAGGACTTCCTTTCTAGGGCAGTGGATCATGCTTCTTCACCTTGGGACTAAGATGGGTGTATTTATTTGCAGAAAAACATGTATTTCTAGGCGTGGGTTGGTTTGACAGAATGAGAGAAAAGGCCACCCATACAGGATATTTATGTCTGCCTGAGGAGCGAGAACTCATTAGAATCCTGTTTACAAAAGAAGTATTTCTCAAAAGCTCACTTTGCTTTATATAGTTCATTAAAAACCAAATCAAACTTGACAAAACTGCATTCTATTTTTTTAAATTTGCATGTTCTTTGACCTACTAAGCCCTAGTGGGAATCAATCCTACAGAAATAAAGACAGCAGCATGTAAGGCTGTTCGCACAAAGATGTTATTATTTAGTAGTAAACAACCTAAGTGTTCATCTATAGGAAAATGATTACATAAATCTGGTTCTTATATGTTACTAAATATTATAAAGCTGTTAAAAAATGAGTTAGAACCATATGTGCTGACTCAAGGGCTGTCCATGGTATATGAATGAGTTCAAAACACAAGGTGCATACATATATCCAAATCTCTATACATACTAAGATCCCATTTTTGTATAATACAGGAGGAAACCTATATGTTTATAATACCAAATAAAAAAAAATGTGGAACAAATATCTACTAAACTGTTAACACTGGTTATCTCAGACTAATAGGATTAGAGTTCTGGGGAAGATTATTAATTTTATGTTTGTACAAATGCCTGTGCTATTTAACTTATATAAAGCAATTGTTCATTTTGTAACTTGAAAATCTTATAAAGCTAAACATTTTTTAAAAAAGAAAAGGTATCTCTACATTCACATCCGAATTTTAACTCCTGGGATGAAAATTCCACTTCTTTCAGATAGACAAGGTGTGTTTTTATAAAGATGATGAAATTGTTGGCGCTGTTACACTGACTGGCAGCTCCAGCCAGGTAGCCACACTGGCCTTGGCCACTGTCCTCTGGCTCCTGACCTCAGGACTTACCTCAATGCAGAGGCAGGTGGGCTCTCCCTTCTCTGTGACTGCACATTCCCGGCCGGCTCCACAAAACACATTGGCACAGATCTTGGATTTGCTCCTTAGTTCTTCCTAAAACACAAAATCATAAAGGAAACCATGTCGCTGAGATGAGGCCGTCACGGGATGAGCCAATGGTGGTGATCAACTTTCAGGCTTGGGCCTCAGTCTGGAGTCACGGCTCATGGTATTGAAGGGTCCTGAACAGCCAGAAGCTGTCCCAAGCAGCCCGCACCAAACAGCCTTTCCAGAACTGCTCCATCCCAGGCCAGGCTACCTCCGAGTCCTTAAAACTGTTTCTTGACGAGCAAGAGCTCTTTTCTTGCATGTTCCCTTTCTTCTAAGAATGTTTATTGTGCAATAGAATATTACCCATTATATGCCAACACTACACTAAGGGGTGCAGATATAAAGGCACAGTCCCTGTCCTCAAGAAGCTCCATGACCCTCTGAGGAAACACAGAGACCTGTAGGAAGCAATATGGAAGCGCAACAACGGGAGCACCAGGGAGCTGGAGGGGAGGAGGGCGAGAATCAAATGAGACTCTGGAGATAAGATGCCTTAACTGATTCCTAGAGGATAATAAGAGTAAGCCAGACAGAAATGGAAACATTTGAGAGCAATATGGATATCTGAAGGACCAAAATCTTACTGAGTAGTGTTCAAGGCAGTATCATCTCAAAAGGCAAAACAAGGATAGCTAAACCATCAACATCTGGATCTGCTATTATTCAACATGGTCTTATTCAGCTGCCATCCACATCTGCCTCTGGCTTCAAGACTAAGAGGGCCAAACCACCTGACAAGCAGCAGAACCATTCTCAAACCACTTATGGTCAGATATAGGCACCAGAACTGACAAGGCCAGGAATGGCTCTAATGTATGCCACTGAAAATGTGGGTGATTGTAGGCACTGATCTGTTGGTGAAACATTCCTTCCGTCACATTAATTGGTGGCCAAAAGCCAGCCCTACCTCATTTGCTCCTTGGGACAGCAGTAGTGGTGGTTGAATGAAGGAGAATTTGATTCCTTCAGCCACTCTCCCTGACTGGCTGAGCAGGCCATCACCACCAGCCTCTGCGTCCCAGCCCACTGGGGTAGCACTGGCTGTGATAAAATCAGCAAAGATGGCAGGAACTGTGATGGGGCCATGAGACTGGCCGTAGTAAAGTAGGGATGGAACCTAAGATTCTGCCCTTCAGGCCATGTCTACCATGTCATGCAGAGAACACAAAGCTTTTAACAGTACATTCTTATAGTCAGTAAATGTTTTAGATCAAAGAAAGATTAGATCAAAGAAAGCAAGAAAACAAAGTAGATATTCAGAGGCGAGGGGCTGTGTTCAATACAGCTGGTTTGCTGCCACCTGGAGGCTGCTTTGCAAACTCCAGGTTATTATTTCCTCTCCGGAGCCAGCTTGCCTGTCATGCAAGGCTCCCATTGGTCTAGAAACCCTTTCCATGTTCACATTTCATTGGTTCACACGCTGTTGCTAAACCCATTCTTTTTTGGGTGTTGCTAAGCCAAATGCAATCTTGCTGGCAGGCAGGGAAGAAAAAAGGAAGTAATTCCCAGAAGGCTGAGAGGACTGGAGAGCTGTTTCCTAAACCAGGAATGGAGATAAAATAGAGCATATTCTCCAGGCAGAGCCCTCTTGGAAACTGTGCCTGGGAATGGAAAGCAGCTTTAAAATGGAAGAGGAAAAGGCTATCACTGACCAGTGTAAAAAAAAAAATTCAGATAAAACTACCTTCTTTCCCTTTCACGAAACAACATGCTGATTGAAGGATACAAATATATAACCCTCTGTGGGTGTGTCATGTGAGTTACAGACCACAAATGTGTAAAAGAGCATGCTCAGACAGAGGCTTACACTCAAAGACACACCAGCACATAGCTCCACAGGCAGATAGCTACAACCTTTAGCATTTATTAGCTCAATGTCCATAACCAGTCACTTTAATTCTTTGAGCCTCAGTTCCCTCATCTGTAAAAAAGGTGTATAAACCAGCCCTGCCCTGTGAAGATTAAATGAAATAATATACTTGGAAATACATCACGAACTGTAAAGCGAGCTGTCTATGAAAAATGTTATTAATGTTAGTGCTTATAGAGTTTCCTGCAGAATAGCCTGTGGCATTTACAGAACCTCTTTTCATCTTGTTGTTTTTAGTGAGTATTAAAAATAAAAGCTTTTCGTTATAGGATGAATTCAACCCAAGTCATTGTCCAGAAATAGTTACCAAAAATCCACTTGAAGAAACAGATACTCTTTAAAACATAAAAACTAATATTTGAATAGTACAATTAAAATTTACAAAGTGTTTTCGTACATATAATTTCACTTTCTGTGAAGACAGCAAGAACATGTATGTTATCGACTCAATTTTATGGACGAGAAAGCTAGAGATCAGAAAGGTCAAGTAACTTCCCCAAGGTCCCAAAGCTAAAGATAAAGGATCAAGGATCCCAACCCAGATCTTCAGACAGGAAATGATCGAGCTCTCATTTATAAAAACCTGGCCCTCTGCTAAGAGATTTTTATTGCGCATTATCTTATTTAAACTTGACAACAACGCCATAAGTTCGACATCATAATTATCCCCATTCCACAGATGAGGGAACTGAGCCTTACAGGTTAAATAACTAGAAAGTGGCAGAGCTAAGATTCTACCCAACCAAAAGGAAAAGTTCTCTTATATATATATTTTTCATATTCAGAAGACTTAATGGGGATGTGATCTGCATAATTAGTAAATGTGGAGAGAAAGTGCTTAAGACTGCATCAGAGTTAGATTTGAATTCCCACACCCCAGCTCTGCTCCTTACTTGCTCTAGAGGTGGGCAAAGCACTGTCTTTAAGCCTCAGTTTCCTCATGTGTACAGTGGGAACGCCAATTCTCACAAGGGCCATGTGAAGATTAAATAAGATGTATACCACATGTGGCAGAACAAGTGAAAGTGGCCATCACTACTGTGGGCAACTGATTTTCAGACAATTTTCCCACTGAGATGCTCTTACCACCTGGACTGTCGCTTCCCCACCCATCCTTCCTTACACTGGAATGACAATCCTGAGAGCAGGAAGACTGACTGAATGGGGAAAAAAAAAAAAGATGGAACTAACAACCCCTGTTGTCCTGTTTGAAGACCACAGAGAAATGCCAGCATTCCTCTTTGCAGGCGGCACATCTGTCAATAGGTGGCAATCTCTCTCTTTGTCTCGCAGAACCCAGAGCCGCAGTGCAGAAGTGCAGTCCTGGTTCCTCCAGCTCCTTCTGGCTCCATCCTTTCTGAAAGATGTGGCTCGAGAGGTGGGGAACAGGAGCAGGTGCCCAGTAGGCACAGGCAGTGGGGACCAAGAACTGGGGATTTGCCCACTTGGGAAAGAATGTCTTACCTGAAGCTCTCAAATCCTCCCAAATTCTTCTCATTCACAGGCATGCTTAATGCAGAAATTAACAACGAAGACACATTTCTCCCAAGAGGAGGCTTCTTTGTGTCTTTGAAAGCCCTTCCCCAAACCCTATCTTCAGCATCCACAAAGCTCCTGGAAAGTTCATTAGAGTAGGAGGTGGTCTTATCCATCTGCCGAGTGACTGATGCTCAGTGGGAGAGAACATCTTAAGGGGATGCACACAGCAAGAAAGTGCTCATAGGATGTGGTAATGGCTGCCCAGCAGGGAGAGGCGTGGTGAGGAAGAGAGACGTGAAGCAGAGGTCTTGCAGCTGATCTGAGGCGGCAGTAAGGGCCTTGGGAAGTCTGGGATGGGGTAGATGACATGATGAATGTAGTGCTTTGGAATGCTGTGTCCAGTCCCTTCCAACTTAGAAATTCTGACTCAAAGTGTAGAGCAGCCGGGATGGAAAGAGGCTGGAGGCAGGGATAAGGCAGGAATCTTCTGGGGAGTGACAGTGGTCTAAAGCCCACTGCTAATATTAATTAGAGCACCTGCAGCCGAGTGAGGTTCTTCGCAAATAGCTCTGTCTTCACAATGTCTGTGCAGGTTTCCATATTTTTAGTCCCATGTAACAGATGGAGAGGGATTTAAGATTCAGAAAAGCTCTGTGATGTGCAGAGGCCACATAACTAGTGAGTCAGGACTGGAATACAGGTCAGCCTGACCCCAGAGCCTGGATACTCCCTTACTGGGAACAGTCAAGGGAGTGAGCTGTGCGGAGAGGGTACAGCTACAAGGGTGCGCACAGGGAGAGGTCACAGGGCACAATGCAGTTCTTGCAAACGAAACAGAAATGTTTGCTTTACCACTTTAACAATTTTAGAAATCAGGTCCCAAGGCTCTATGAGAATTTCATCTACGTACAGATAACCACATTGGCACATGAATATTCTCTAGGAGTGTGAGGTCACAGGTATACGAACATGCCAGTCTGAATGCTCCTGTGACAGTGTGATTGATTGGGGAGAGGAGGCATGCTCTGGAAGTGTAAATACCCTGAAAGATTGATAGAAATTAACAAAATACTTATTTCCAATGGAGAAACATCAGGTTTCTAGCTTTATCCTTCTGCATCATCTCCCTGACTTGTTTTCATTGTGTTACAAGCCACGCATTGGGGGTTTGGTCTAATGGTTAATTTTCAGAATGCAAACTCCCTTTGGCAAAAGACCAACCAGGGACTTTTACCAGGGAAATAATTCCTCTCTGAGCTACTGCCAGCCACTGCACGGTAATGATACTCTGTACTTGTACAGCAGTTAGGTTAGTCTTTAATTGTTACTATTATTTTCGACTCTCAAAGTCTTTTAGGATAGACAGGCAGGGGTTATCTCTAAGGCCCTTCCAGATTTAACATTCTACCAGGAAGAAACCGAGACTCATGGTTACATGTGACTGGTCCAAGACCTCACGGGGCCTGGCTTGAGGTCTCTAGACTTTAATTCCAGCCCTCTTTCCTCTAATCCACTTTGCCTCTTTACAAATCAAAGCTAGAAAAGTGCTGTCTGGGATCCAAGATTTAAAAAAATCAGCAATTATTTTTGCAGCTGAAAAAGATCCTTTGCAAGCAAAAGGGAAAAGCAAGTTATTTTCATAACCACCTCTAGAGGTGACAGTGTGTCTCTGGGCCAACCAGCATTACGTCTGAACATAAAACACACTTTTAATGTTTTAAAAGTCTTCTGAAGTAAAACAACTTCTGGAAGAACAATGTTCTTTGGCAGAGGAGAAAGCCTGTAAGCAAAGCCACAAAACTGCATCTTAATACACCGTCAGTCACTACAGTGAATCGTGCCCTCCATCCTTTTTCCTTCTCAACTTTTTTTCTTTTTGGGTGGTGTGGGGGGCGGGCGGTAACCCTTACGTATGCCAAGGTGGAATTTTGGCTCCATCTGCCACTATTCTGTGACAGAGCGGCTTTGTTGACGTGAGAAAGGCTCTCCTTGCTTTACCAGTATTAGTCATGGAAACTTCACGGGAACACCAGGGCCCCTCAGATACGCACAGCACCGTGGAGTTGGGACCAAAGGAATTAACAGAATTGGGTACAGCAGGAGACTCTAGTGGGTGTAGGGTGGGATGCTGGCTTCTCCCAAGAGGCCATTCTAAAATGGAACCTAGCTGCACAGGCCTGAGAAAGCCAAAGAGAAAGCAAAACCACTTCAAGACCTTGAAATCTAGCTGGAGCATCCTGTGACCTTGCTCCAATTCTCTTGATTCTTTTTCTCTGAAAAGAATGGGTTGGTGCATCCTACATATTCTAGGGAATGAGGAGGAATAAGGTCACGTCTAGCAGAAGTCCTCTGTGCTTGGCAGCAGGCGCTGCATTTGCAGAGACAGTGTCCCTCCCTGCAGGTGCTCACAACGAATCCCTCATCTCGAAGTTAATGCACTAGGGTCAGATACAGGTTTTGTGGGGCCTGAAGCATAAACAATTTGAGGTGCCTTCCTTAATAAAAGGAATATATATGCAACTATGACTGCAAAACTGGGCACGGGGCCTTGGAAGGGACCTTGCAAATAAAAGGTCTAAAACTGAAGCTTAATTTGCTTCACAGTAAATCTGACTCTCCATCTACCCTATTACTTTCTTCATAAACAAGACTGCTTTTGCGCTGTTAGTCTATTAGAGACCTATTCAATGTTTTATGCACATACAGTTTATCTCAAGTAGATTAAGTGTTTGCACATTTTGGCTTCCCACAGACCCACCACATTGTCCTGCCTAAGAAAATGCTCAATAAACATTTTTTACATTAAATGGGGTCCATTCAGATTAGTGTTAATGTCAGTTGCCAGTGACAGTGGCATTCAGGATGTTTGGGGAAAGTGTGGCTGGCCTTTATGACATCAAAATAAGGAACTATCCAGTTCTCTTTTGTATAGATTTCTATGTTCAGCCTCTATCACACAGCTTATGGGTTAACATGCTCCTGGCATTTTTTTACTCATGAGATAATGTAGTGTATACCTGGAAATTACTACTTTCAAATTTCAAATAGGACAAGGCCACTTACCTCAACCATTGTCTTTATTATTTTACAGATTCTGTCACATTCTCTAAGTGTCTGCCTTGTCAGACTGAAGGACCTAAACTGCCATCTTCACAGGGAAGCCCTTTCTTTGGAATGCCTCTCCCTCCATATTGTAGGTTTTTCTTGAGGAGGCCCAGATTCAGCACAACAAACTGGATGCTTGGTTTTTCCATAATGGTAAGTTCCATTTTCTGTAATGGTCTTGTCCAATGCTAGCAGAAGTATACAGCATCATTCAGTAAGCACGCACTTACAGAGTTAGAAATATGCTAGGCACTTTCAAACAGGACTGAGAAGAACCCTACGAGGGTCTATGAAGTTGGAGGATTCATCCCTGTTGGCAGTGAGGAGACCACGACTCCGAGTTGTGCTGTGACTGAGGTAGGAGTCACGGTGGCTCTGACTCCAGCACCCAGGGAGGGTCTTTATGCCTACAAGCCTTCGGGTCATTGTCCACAGCAATGAGACCTGGAGTACATTCCCAGGGAGTGCTATGCTGTCTCCTCAACTCAGGCATATCCGGTAACTCCACCGTGACTGACAGGGTCTATGAGGCTCCCCAATACCTGTCTATAGTCCTCAGAGTTAACCCTGGGAGTGTCCCACATCCTATCTTCCTAAAGAGTGCTTTTGGCAAGTCCCTTGATTTCACAATTTCACCCTTTCGTTTCTTCAGAACACCTGGGGGGAACCTTTTAAGCCAGACCACTTTCTGCCCTGAATTAGCCTGTCAGGTTTCAGTGTGGTATTCCTTTTCCATTCTCCAACTGTCTGCCTAAGACCTGTCCAGTTTAGAGGACAAAGTAGGGGATATGAATAGTGCTCCAGTCTTCTTCCGTAAAGGCCAAGGCAAGTAATTTAAAGCCATCAGAAAGCATATTTGATGAGTGCCTATAACAACAAAAGAAGAATGATAACAGTCTCTGACCAGCATGGCGTGAGCTCCATGGCATAACCTCGAAAGGAGTGGCCTCTGGCTTCACAGAAGTCTCTAACCTAGTCAGGGCGATGAAACTAACTCACACAGACCAATCTGTTCTGAAGGAAACAGGGCTGACTCCAGATGGGGTTTCATGGATGAGACGGGGCTTGAGCTGAGCCCTGAAAGATGGTAGGATCTGGATGGAAACCCTAGAGATTTTTGAGCAGGAGGGTTTTAAGAATAGTTTGGCAGTGGAACATGGGAAGAAATGGTTGAGGAGGAATAGGAGGACAAGGAAACCAGCTAGAAAGAGCCTGGGGTGATGAGAGTCTCATGTAAGGTGGCGGCAGGGATACAGAGAAAAGAAGGAATCCGAGAGAAATTTCTAAAGACCAAGGAGATCTGGCAAAATATCGAAGAGACGAGAGGAAGGGAGACTCTGGGGAGCTACCAAGATCTTTGGCTCTGAGGGTCTGGAAGGTTGCTAGTGTGTCTGTCAGAGATGGATCCCTGGGAAGCACCGAGTGGGGGAGGGGAAGGTGATGATGAGTCAGCTATGCACATGAGTCTAAGGAGATGTAAAACATCCCACTGACAGTTGAGAATAAAGGACTAGAGATGCACATCTGGACATCTATAAGCTGCATGCAGCCAAGGGAACAAATGAGCTCAGGAGGCAAGAGTGGGAATGGAGGGCTGAGAGCGGCTAAGGAGAGGAAAGGACAGGACATGGACAGAGAGGAGCAGGAAGGAGAACAGGTTGCCATCAGCTCAACATGGGGTCTTTGTGAAAATCAGAAAAGGTGCCTTCCCCTCTGAGCAGATGCAACACCCAGCCAGGTTACAGGGCTTGGCAAGCAGGGTGCAGGTTGGAATTTAGCTCCCCTGACCTACTCATGCAGTGAACAGCCTGCACAATCACATGAGGGCTCTGAGGGCAAAGCAGCCAAGAAAGCAGAGTAGGCACATTCAGAAAACTGGGAGCAAAACCAGGAAGTCTAGAGAGCTCCAAGAAATGGATGATGAATGCCACTGTATAAAATAATTTGACAAATGTTGGATGAGACAGCACCTCCTCTCCCCAAAAAAGATCTTTTAAACCTCTACTAAAACCTAAACCAGTTACCCAGGGCAGAACAGGCAGAGGCAGTGAGGTCCTGTAAGGAGAACTGATGGAGGAGCCTGGAGACAGACTCTGGACATATCTCTGCCTCTAACATGCTCTGTGACTTAGGGCAAGGTGCTTGACCTCTCTGGGCCTCAATTTCCCGATCTACAAAACAAAAGGGTTGGGGATGATGCCAGAATCCCTTAAAATTTTAAGATCCTCTTAACTAGAAAGCACAGAATTTACCATTTTAGATGTTCTCAAATAGCAAACTTTATTCTCCCAGGAAGCTAATCTAAACTAAAGAGATAGTTACATATAGAACCTCTTAAGGGTATTTCAGGATTTTTGCTGGATTTTGGTAGGGGAATTAAAACTCGCTTTCATAGTCAAAGAATTTTCATAAGCAATGCCTTTTCATTCCCTTCTGGATCATGGCAGAGGAAATCAGGGGAGCGGTAATGGGGCCCCAATTGAGTGGCCCGACTTCACTAACCAGTTAACTGGTTGGAAACTTCTACTCCCCTAGAATGCCATTAATGACATTTTTACTCTATTTGTGTTTGCCTTACAAGAGAAAAAGGAAAGAAAAGGGAGAGAATGGTTAAAGGAAATTCACATGAGATTCACAATTCTTCATTCCTGCCAAGAACCTGTCACTGAAGTATGTCTGGGACTGCCAGGGCTCACATTTACTCAGCGCTCATGGTCTAATTATTTCCACATGTAGTCCAAGGAGAATGGTTGATTAAAAGTTAAAAAAAAAAAAAAAACAACAAAAACAAAACCCAAACCCCACACCTAAATCCCAATACCCTCAACTAAAGAGGGGAGACAGCTCTGGGGCAGCTGTGGGAGAGTGTCCCCTGCAGGGCCTGCCACATCTGGACCAACATTCCTGCACATTCCTGGCACCCCCAGCAAGCCGGCCCTCCACCTCTCCAAGCCTCCCTAGCCCAGAACCAAACAGGATTCACATTCACGGGCTTCTGAGTGGAATGTAGGATTTCCTCCCTGGCTTTGGTGAAAGGCAGATGAGATATGGATAGGGCCTAACAGCTAGAGTTCTCTCCACTTCTTGTGCCCTGGGGTCTACTAAATTTAAGTAGCCTCTGTGTGTTCCTGAGATCACATACTAGGGAAGGAAGCCCCTGTGGCAGAGAACTTGGGGACCGTCTCTGAATTAGGAAATAGCCCGCCCCCACTACATTTGTGGCTCCTTTCCATAATCTCAATTTGCACATGCCTCACCCTAATACTGAAGGCTAAGCCACTGTTCTTCAAGGTGGTTCACAGGACCAGGCTCTGATTCAGATGCCTGGCACTGTCACTTACTGGCACCTACTTGGCCACATTTAACAAGGTCTTTGGCACGTGGCTCAGAGTCTTCTTCCTCTCTCCTGGGTGACTTCATTGTTTCCTTGGCCTCTTTACCTTCAGTAATCCTCGCTTACGTCCCCTGGCTACAGGGAGCTTCAGCTGTGTCTGTGGATAGAGCGGGTAGCCACAGCAGATTTAAGTCACAAACAGACTAAAATAGAGTGTATAAGGCTCCTGAGGGTCTACATTTTGAAATGAGAACTCATTACCCTTTGAAAACATCAGCACCGTTAGGTATTATTAGATGCTTCTTCAACCTTCAGATGGGCAGTGAATGTCTGTCCCACAAGAACTGCTAAAAAAAATGTCACCTTCTGGAAAGTCTGATTTATTGCCTGGAGTGCACAAATTCTTCCTATCCTTCAAGGCTTAGCTCAAGTTACAGCACTCCAGCCTCGGCGACCTTTTCCTTTTGGTTGATATGCATTCCTTCCTCCTTCTCTGAACTTTAATTCCTCTTTGTCTAAATTCATTTTTTAAAATTTTAATTGACTGCGCTGATTCTGTTTTCCCAGCTGCACTATCAGTTCCTAGAGCACTATGATTATGCTTTGAAGTTCTTTCACAGGTCCTAGCTTAGGACCTGTGCCGCTCAATCGACCTTTGTTAAATTGAGCGTAAAAGTGCTACTGAACCACACTTCCCAGAGGTCTTGAAGAGGGGCGGAAGGACAGTCCCTGTGCCAGCTCCTTTTCTAGGGCTGACCCCTTCCAGGACCAGTCTTTTGGAGAAATAGCCTAAAGACCCCACCTTTCTTCACTAGGCCATAAAGACTCAGCCATGAATTTCACTAATTAGATATTGTCTTAGACCCACAGAAAGACTTTGCTGTGTGTGTGTGTGTGTGTGTGTGTGTGTGTGTGTGTGTGTGTTAAGAGCACTTAACATAAGCTCTACTAGGAGAACATTGGGGACTGAAAATGGCTTCCAGTCATTTCTTTTGTCCACCATCAATGTATAACCTAGCCGACATGCTGAGGGAACATTGGGGACTGAAAACGGCTTCCAGTCATTTCTTTTGTTCACCATCAATGTATAACCTAGCCGACATGCTGAGGGAATGAGAATTTGGTGGAAACAGGATAGAAGATGAGGTAATGTGGGAACACGAGGCACCTTGGAGGAAGGCAAAATTGGGTAGGACTCCAGATTGTAGGGTGGTGTCTTGTACAAGGGAAAAGTAGAAATGAAGAGAAGCAAGTGAGAGGCCAAGAGAAAGTGTGAAAATGGGCTTATTATTCAAGGCAGCTGTTTTGTGTTAACTCTTCCCAGGAACCCCACCCCTACACTGTCTCATGAAGTAGAAGGAAGGCTACTTGGTCAGTCTCCCTAGACCAGAAAGAAAGCTTCTTGCCTTGTCCTTCCCCCTCTCCCACCCCCAGGATGTTCCAGAGTCTTCAACCACTCACCCTCTGGCTCATCCTTGCAGTGGGCTAGAAAACACTGCACTGTGAGTTGCTAGGGAAGGGCAAGGCTTTAGCTGTGCCCACGTGGTTTACTTCCCCTGGGGCTGGGTACCTTAAAAGGAACTGTGATGTCCGACCAAGAGCTAAGACAATTTGACACATGAAGGGGACCAAGATCGGGGAGATAGCGGGGAGGTCAGCGTTGACTGGAACAGAATGGAGCAGAGAGACTCAGAGATCCAGCGCAGCAGAGCAGCATGAGTCTCCACTTTAAAAACACAAAGCCCTGGGAATCTTTGGGGACAGTGTGGCTGCAAAGCAGCTGTCAAGTTTCTAGCATCTTGGCAATTATTCTCCAGTCCGAGGAATGCAGAAGGGGTTAAAAACCCAGCAAGAAACTCCTGCTAAATGAAGTCTCCATATGTGCATCTCAGTATGGTTCTAGGAGAAGCAGACAGATGTAATTAGAAGTTCTCAGGCGCTGTGTTGCCATGGCAACTGCTAGCCTAGAGAAAACCAGGAGTCCGAGGGATACAGTCTTCCAAAGAAACATCAGAGGCAAGTGGTGTTCATCACCCTTGGGCTCCCCAGGTAGGGCTTGTGACTCCAGCTTGCCCTCTCCCAGACTCTTGAGGACCCTCCCCACCCAATTCCCATTCATCCTTTCTGCACCTGCTCCCCCCACCCAGATACACACCCAGAGCAATTCCAAATGCAAATAAAAGGCTCCCTTCAGATAGCTTCCAAAGGAAGGAATTAAGGAGGAGTTTGTAGGGGTGACAGTTCTCAGGGAAGTCTCTTGTTCCAGGTGCTTTCTGGATCTGAGTCTGAGGCTCAGTGAGCAAAGCTGCAGGTTTAATTTATGTGCCACTATGAGGCTCAGCTCCTCTATGGTGGGGGGATGCTGGATGGGTGCTCCAGGACAAGTAGGGGTACGTGAGCTTGAGCAGGAGAATGTCTCAGCTTAGTAGGGCAAACTTATATTTTATCAGCCAAATTGGGACTTTTTTGAGAGTAAAAAGGGACCTTTTAAATAGATACACTTGGACAACAGGCACAAATTGTGACACGTGGTCACCTTAATCATTAAGCTACCTAAAGAGAAATAATTATTTTTATTTTATTGAGTAGGAATTCTAATCTGCGGTCTGTGATCCCCTAGAAACGTAGCTATACATTTTAGGACTTGAATTTCCTAGGGTACAAGCTAGGAAAGGCGAGAAACCCAAAGAAAGGACTACTCTGGGCATGGACTGCCTCTTATAGACTTAAACCTCCCTTGATTCAACTGCCCCATGAGGATATTCATGGGGTTCTGCTGTTGCAAAGCTGCGGAACCTGGACCACTTTTGCTTCAAAATCTTGGGCATTTCAAATCCTCCCAACAGCTCTAGTGAGAGAATCATTCATTTCAAGCATTGTTGCCAAAGGGCGATGGTTTTCTAGAATTTATGGCAATAATGTGGTCAACAGAGTAGGATCATTCCACAGCAGTGATTACTGCTAAGTCTCCCCTGAAGAGGGGAGGTTTCCGGGAGTGCATTCTTACACATTCCTGAACAACTGAACCAAAAACAGAACCAGAAACAGATATCTGTGGTCACGAAACCCAGGGAAAGGTCAGACTCTCCCAGGGAACCAGCAGAAATGACTGTATTTTAGGCATCATGTAGTCAGCCTAGAAATTATGAGCATGTGGTTCAGCCACAAGGTCTGTTACAAAACTGTAGGATGTTTAAAGGGTAAAGCCCACCCAAGGAGCATCTCTAGTATTTTCTAAGGACTTTGGGAATCACAGCCATTTGGTAGGAGTGCCTAGTCATTACTTGGCAACCATGGCTGGTGGTGGCCCTCCTCTCTCAACCCTGACTCAAAGTTGGGAGCCACTGGGGCCAACGTGCCTTATTTACCTGCACCCAAACCCAGATGGGCCCTGGACAGTGGGAGGAAATCTCTGAGCTTCCCCAAGATTTTGGGGTGGTAACGAGGGGCCCTTTACAATCTGTAATCATCAATTAACACTGTCGCTCTCTGCTAGGCACGCATGTCAGGAAATTCAGGCGCCCACTGCAGGTCTCCTGGGTTTCGATAGTCTAGTTTAGAGAAATATTAACCTTTCTGGAACAAATTAAGAACTACGTAAAATCAATCCCTTTGAAAAAAGCAACACTCCAGATACAAATTAACTTGCATTTCCTTATCATTGTCTGAGGCAAAATTGGAATAAATCTATTTGTAAGCAAGGAAGCAATATAGGGGACAATCAAGCAACAAAATACTAAATATCATGCTGGATGCTGGGGACTCAAGAAGAATGAGGCACAGTGCATGTCCCTAAGCTACTGAAAGTTTAGATGAAGAAATGGGACATAAATATGTGGAATTTTAAATAACAGGACAACACAATCTAATAAGAGCTAACTCAAGACAACGTATGGCTAAATGCAATGTATAGTTAAGTGACAAGTCTCTACAGCAGTGATGTCCAATCGAAGTATAATATCATCTCATAGATGATTTTTAGTAGCCACATTTTAAAAAGTTAAAAGGAACAGATAAAATTATTTTAATAATTTGTTTTACTTAAGGTAATATAGCCAAGATATTACCATTTCAGTATGTAATCAATATTATTTTTTTTAATTAAAAATTTTTTTGCGGTTACAGTTGGTATTTAATATTACATTAGTTTCAGGTATACAGCATAATGGTATGGTGAGACAGCTGAATAACTTACGAGGTGTGGAATCAGCATTATTAATGAGATACTTAACACATTTTTTCGATACTTTGAAATCTGGCATGTATTTTATACTTACAGCGTTTCTCAATGGGACGACCCACGTTTCAAGAACTCAGTAGCCACTTGTTGCTAGTGGCTTTTCCTAATGAACAGCACAGCTCTAAACAATAAGTATGAGTAGTTCTGACAAATTACTGAGGGCTGAATTGAAGAGAGTTTAAGTAGAAAGAGTAATATTTTAACTTGGAATGTTTTAGAAGTGGTGTATAAAACTGGAGTCAACAGATGTTATCTGAACACACAGTTAAGGCAGCACACTGGGCTAGATCTGGGACCAGGATCCTGAAGTAATGAACACTTAGTTTTCTGAAAATGGGGACTCATCATGGGCACTTAAACCTAAATCTGACTCTACTTTCAACTTGTCCTTTCAATGGACAAGTCACTTCCTCCTTCTGGTCTCCTCTATAAAGAAGATAAAATGTTTGCCACCTTTTGTCTTTAGGACTCTATATAGCTTCTCTCATGAAACAATGGTAAGGGGCTAATTAAACTATATATTTGGGGCCTTTTCTTAACTATTTAAATACACCTTTTTTATGTGTGTAAAAGTCCATGGACAAATTTGGCGATGAAGTGGATATTTCTCAAAACTTTGTAGCTTGACTGCTACTCTGTTGCCACCAGCTTTCAATAATATTACACACATACACACACACACACGCACGCTTTAGTGCCTTCGGATTAAACTCAATGAAAACATGCACATTCTATTCCGCTTGAGACATTCCTGCCTTGCATTCTTTCCTTGGAGCAGTTGGGAAGTCACAGCTGGGGGGAAGAAGCTGTAAAACCTACTTGTTCTAGCCAATGAGACCTAAGCTAACAGGAGGCCCACCAATGAGAGACTGGCAGGCATTCTACTCCATTGCAGCAAACTCCCTATTTCTGCAGAGGTTAAAAATCCTGTGAGACTCTCAAGCTGTACCAGCAATGCAAAGATCTCCTTTTCTCTTCATTTTGCTTTCCTCCAAGGACTGCATTAAAAACTCTACACAAAAACCTACTAGCTTAGTGGCAAGTCATCTGTAACAGACTGTCATTTGTGGTAAAAACACTCCCAAGTATTATACAGCCGTATAGTTCTCAAGGCTCTGTTCTCCTTCATTTTTAACTGACCAAACACTGGAGAATTGCCAGATATTTAGCTAGTTTTGGTTACCCTGACTCTGTTGAAAAGTAGAGCAACAGGCTATGGAAGTCAGGAAACTTGGTCTACGGGTGAACTGTAAGAGAGTTCAGGGCTGCAGGCAAGTGGGGGTCTGCTTCCTGGAACTTCACCCACTGCTAATCACTGTGGCATTGGTGCAACTTTCCCAGGATAAAGACTTCTCTGAGATCTAATGTGTAAATCTATGACATCGTTTTATCTATCCTGGGGAGATCACACTTGCTATTCAAATGAAACGGGAGAGAGCAAGAGCAGAAATAATCTCAAAAACTAAAAGTCTCAGCAAATGATGACATCAGAAGACAAAATGACCTGAGAATTTGGGGCAAAGAATCACCAACGACAGAATTTAATGCTTTATTTTATATTCCTTTTGGTATTAGCTTACTCTGCGAATCGTGCCCAGTTAAATCAGAATTGCTGGTTATGGAAGAAAATAATAAATAAATAAATAATAAATATTCTGCTAGCCTCTGTTTAAATTCCAACTTCACCCACAGCCTAGAGAATCAGAATCCAGGAGTGAGACTAAGCAAGCACAGCATTACTACCATGTCCAAGGTTAAGCAAAGTATTGACGGGCAAGTGTTGTTAGCTATCTTCCCAGGTGCATAAATACTTGCAGAATCTGACGCAGAGTTGACTGGGTACAAAGATTATAGGCAGGCTACTGTCCACCTTCTCATATCCCATAGGAGACATTTGGATTCATTAATTGATCCATTTGGTCAGTGGATTAATTCAGCAAATATTTACTGAGCACCTACTATATGCTAAGCTCTTCTAGGTGCTGGGAAGTCATTGGTGAGACAGTGAAGGGCTCTGTCATGAAGGAGTACATATTTTAGAAGAGGGACAGTGAATAAACACAAATAAGAAGATCATTTCAGATTGTGATGAACATTTAGAAGATATGTTTGACAGAGAAACCTGGGAGAAAGGGCACTACTTAGATTGAGTGGTTAGGGAACACTCTCTTGAGCTGAGACATGAAGGATGAATGGAGCAATTCAGACAGAAGAAGTAAAGTGCAAAGGTTCTGAAGAAGGGCAGAATTTGTTATGTTCCTTGAAAACAAAAAAAAACATTTGGCTGCGACACAAGGTCCAGCAGGGAGAGCAGTGAGAGGTAACCTTGGAAAAGCAAGCATGGTCTGGAGCCTGTAGAACCTTGTACACACGGATAAAAAGTTTATATTTTATTCTCAACAATACAGGGGCTACTGGAGGATTTTACATAGGAGAGTGATGTGATCAGACACGTGTTTTACAAAGATTACTCAGACTGCTGTGTAGAGAAGTAGATGGAGAGAGGCAAGAAGAAAGAAGGGGAGAGCAGCTAAGATGCTACTGCAATTGTCCAGGCATAGAACAATGGTGGCTTGGACAAGGGCAGTGGCAATGGAGACCGAGAACAGTCAATAGAGATGTGATATATTCTGACAGTAGAACTGATAGGACTTGCTGAGGGACTGGGTATGGATAAGGAGAGTAAATGATAAATAATAAAAAAGAAGATTCCTGAGTACTTCAGGTTGATAAACAAAAAAACTGAGCTAGTTCTAGGCAGGTATGGTCATGGCCATGCCAATGGTCCAAGATGAAGTCACTCCCAGAAGGATCTACCTTTGGACTGGCTCTGGGATCCAGATAAGTCTGATACCTTTTTGATGAAACTGAATTAGTTGAGGGAAGTGAGTTCAGCAAGACCACTAAGACCTGGGGTCAGATGTAAATAGACTCTGCTTATGGAAATCTGTCCAAAATGGACCCATGTTACCAAACTGTCCGAGGAATACTAGCCTTGGAATATTTATGGTAGTCTTGGATATGGTGTTCTGTGGTGAAAGGTCTGGGAAACACTGCTTATAATACTTTCCTCCTAGAGAGGAAAAGATATAATGCACGTGAACATTGTAAGGCTCTGAAAAGTCCTGCAACTAAAAAACCATTTAATCTAGCACATATATTAATATCACTCATACACAGTTTGAGAAATATGAATCTAGGTTCTGTAATTTGGGCCCTTAATTCTACTGTCCCCTGGAATTCAAGCAAAAACAAGAATAGCAGCTACTATTTATTGAGCACTTGATCCGGTATAAGGTATTTTAGATCATTATGTCCTTTGCTAAACATTATGTACAGGTGACATTTTAATATGTATCTTTTACATTACTGTTTGTTCTTGTGAGTTTTGATTATGGACCACACATGTACTTAGTAAAAGCAGACAAATCTCTTTCCTGATCATATATATCAGCAGTGTTTACTCACAATATTTCCTCGTGAAGCTATAAAGACCAGACGTTCTGCATTTTATCACCCCATCTCCATTTACTTACCCAAATACAATTAAAAGTGACTGTTTCCACCTCCATCACTGCCTCCTCCCTCTTCCCCCAGTCCTCCTCATCACTATTTTCCTTCTTCCTTTTACTTCAATTCTAAACAAGAACCATTTGGGGACAATTCACATGCTTTGGACACTCTTGGGCTTAGAATCCCTAATTTTTGTCTCCCTCAAAAAAAATGTCATGACTTTCTGAATATGGCTGCTGTCACATCTAAATCCACAGACTGGTAATCTAGAGCATAGTAATCCTCAACTATCTGGGAAACACACACACACACTCACTCACTCACTCATTTCACCAACCTGGGCAGAAAGGAGGACATTTTCCTGGACTTAAACAACAAATCACTGGGAATGAGGAGGTCTTTACATTCCAGGTCACTGTAACATGAGTAATTACGGTCACAAAATGACAATGCCATTTACACTACAGAAAACAATGATAACATTACTTAGAAAAATAATTCAATCACCAATTGAAATATAGCCACTCTGGAGGAACCCAGATTGCTCTCTAATCCACACAACAATTCACTGAAGAAACATAAGCAGGAAATGAAGAGCTTAATTAGCCAATTAGCTGAGCTGTAAAATAACCAACACAGCAGGGTTAATAATCCTCAAGCATCGGTTGTTCTCATAGGACAAAATATCACCTTCACGGTTTCTTTCTTTCTTTATTTATTTTGTCTTTTAAGAAAGAGAGTGCCTAAATAGGGCATGTAATGAACATACATACAACTTTTATGGTTTCTTATTGTCATCCAGGTTATATTATACATATTCTCCTACAAAATATAAAAACACGAAGACTCTTTTTCAGTTCTCTTTCTCAGAAATAAAGCTGTTAACTTGGCAACTTTCCTTTAAACAATATGGCCCACAAACACTTAAGGAAATGTTATTAAGAAACAAGTCAGCAGTGAGTACTAAATTTATTATACCCAACATTTAGCAAAGACTTGAATATTTGGCCTCTACTCAAAGCACTTCCCGATCCTCTTCTCCCTTCCAGTCTTGTCCCCCAAGAAAGGAAATTGAGAAACCCCAAAAGAACTCACACCTGAAGTGGGTGGGTGTCCTTTTGCTGGGGTTTTCTTTGATCATTAGCCAGCCCTTGGTGCCATGCAGAAAGTTACTCTTGTGTTGAACATGACACAGACACCAATTAATGCATAAAGTGAAAAGCTTTACCCTAAAATCAATAGCTAAACCAGGAAGTCTGCTTCTCTGTGTGTGGCGGTTGGTAAGGTCAGGGCCACACAGGATAAGAAAGGAAAGAAAACAGAAAATGCCAAGGATAGAAGACTAAAAGAGGGGTGGGAGAACAAAGCACGAATGGACACAATTTTGAAATATTTTTAGGACTCTAAGGAGAAGCCAGGTGAATTGACTGCTTCTGATATAGACCGCAGCCTACTCCCAATAATTATAGCACTGTAATAATATACAGTGAAGACTCAAGGATGAGGATGCCCTTGGAGACATGATGCTGAGTGTTCTGAGCATCATGATGGAGTAATTCTGCCTCCATCCCAAAGCAGGTTTTTGTGAGCTGAACTGAGCTGGGCCACCAAGAAACCACGCCTGGGCCCTACACCTGATAGGGACTCTGACAATGAAGGGAGCTCAGTTATGTCTGAGTCTGCTCAGTTCAATAGCTTTTAGCTGCTTTAAAAGAAATTTCACACATATCAATTTCATGCTGAAGTTTAGATAAGCTAGGTATCCTGGTGACAGTCACTAGAAATTTCTCTGGAATGTCCTTGAGTTCTTCATCCATTTTATTTTCCTTTGTTGCAAATGTTATGCCACAAACTTGGGTCTTTCTTCATAACCGAAAATAGGCTTAGTTAGCCTAATGCTAACAGAAAAGCTAGTTGGACATGCTAGCCATGGGATTTGAGAGGAAAAACATACCTCTTATTTTTGGAATGAGGTAGGGAATAAATGAATGAATGGATGAATGAATGAATAACATACATTGATTAATGTTCATTGACAGCCAAACTTCACAACCACAAAAATAAGCACTCCTCATTACTATTTTCTATGTGCCTAGGCTCAAGAATCAGTACAAACAATAAACTAAACAAAACAGTCAAATTAAAGGAAATTTAATAATATATATGCTTCTCTTCACTGGTTTCCATAGGAATTTGTTCTTGTGAGAGAAGTATATTTGAGCTATAGGTAAATGGTCATGTTCTCCAAGTGGTGAACATTAAGTCAATTAAGTAGTGAAATTATGTGTGTGTATCTATGTATATAGTCTACTCTGGAGAACAGCCAAATTTCATTCAATTCTGACACTGTACAAGTAGCCTTATTAGGAAAGCCACATGCAGCCTTGGGCTGGCCCTCCACTCACGACCAAGTTAGCACAATTTAGCATACTGGGATTATCTAGTGGGATTCAGGAACTGGAGTGCAGTTAAGGTACCAAGCATTTAAGCAGGACTAAAACTTATGCACTGGCCTGTTTCCTTGCTGCGTTCACCCTAGCAATTCACTTAATTTAACCACTGAGGTCAAGGCCAAAGAGTTGTTTCCTCAGCTGTAACAAAAACCCTGAATTGATTTAGAGAGGAGGGCATGGGGACCAAGGCAGCAACTTCATCAATATCTGCTCAGGAGACTCAGGTCATGGGCCAGGTAACATGGTGAGAAGGCAAGAAGCATTCCAGAAAACAAAATTAGGGTCCATGCCACATTTTCAGACAACTATTTTTGTAAGCCATTTCACTACTACATCATGATGTTTAAGAGAAAATGGGAACATTTACAAAGGTCAGGAAAATGTTTCGTTTTTGTTTTTTTAATAAGTTCAATAAAAGCTCAAGTTGCACACTTTGAGTTGTCTTCTTTTTTCTTTCTTTTTTTCCTCTTTTTTCTTTTTTAAATTAATTCCTTGCTCAACCTTAAGGGGACCCAGCATTCTTCATTTCTTGCCCAGTGGAAAATCAGGCAATTCCTTTCTATAAAGAGCATTTGAGATTCCTGGGCACGAGAAGTGTTCAGTGCCACATGCTGTACTGTTTATATCATACTCAACATATGCAGGAGGCAGTAAGGGACACAAGATGCCTCCTGCTTTTACTCATTCTCTTTTTCCATTCCTGCACCAGCTTCTCTTTCAAACTGCTCCTCCCTGGGCTATCAATTAAGACAAGAGCTAATCAAATATTCTTACTCCATTCAACTAGAGAGATGTGAAAATAACAATAAAAGCGAGATAGTTCATGGCAACCTTTGAAGGTAAGGTTTGGACTGTAATCTGCGAATTATTTTGGGGTAAACGTTGTAGCCACAAACGCCGCCAGCGAGTATTCTCGGGGCAAATGGGAAAGGGGTTAAGTAGAATATTTTGATAATCCACCTTAAAATGTCTGCCTTCTTTTTTATGGACAGGATTTCAGAGCTGGGTTCTGGAGCTCACCTACTCTAACCCCCATATTTTGCAGATGAGGGGTCCACTGACTTGCCCAAATTCATGCTACCTATGGAAGGCACGAGGCATATTAATTGAGTGCCACTGTCTGTCCTGGATTATTTGCTCCTGCCCATCTCTGGCCAATCAGTGGAGGGTTGTTTGGAGCCAGCTCACATCAGAAACCTCTGTAAATAGCCACAGCTTCAGGCAGCACTGCTGGTATTTTCTCAACTCCAAACCTCTCAAGACAGCGGAATCCTGACAGTCTCATAAATTCACTCACCTGTTTCCTATGTGTGCGGTCATGTCAGTTCCCCTGAGACAGGTTAAGGCTGACCGAAAAAACGGGGGGAACGAGTGAGGAGAAGAACCTAAGTCAGAGCTGCAGAACTGTACAGATTGTGCTTAAAAGGCGCAGTGCCAAGCAGACACTGTCTAGACATTAACTGGCCTCTCCAGAGAGGGGTGCGGGGTGGAGGGGGAGCAAGGCCGGAAAGTCTGCCTGCTTTTTGTTCAGCTAATGCAAACACATGACACAACTACTGACAGGCTCCAGGCTCGGAGTTCGCTGTCTAAGACATTTCTTCCTTGGGGCTGGAATTCAGCTGTGAGCTGAAGGAAGTTGTGCTAATCCAGCAATCAGAGGGAAACTAGGAACGTTTTTCTTAATTCCTGGGGAATCGGAGTTCCCAAACTAGACTGAGCTGGGCAACAGCCAAAAGTAACACATTTGTGAGTGCAAAAAAGTAAATTTTTAAAATTTCCATTTATATCATCTTAACCAATCCATGAGGAAAATCCACAAAAATACAGAACTGGCTTTTGATAGAGGCCTGTTATGAAAATTTTATTAGACTCTGAATGATGTCAATTTATAAAATGTACAGATGGAGAAATGGCCACCATAGTACAAAATACATCATATATCGAAAAATGTTGGGCTTGGAAGCTTTGCACATCAGTTAGAAAAACAAGTGCCCCTTTCTCTGCCCCTTTCTCTGCCCTCTGAAGCTCAGAGGCTTCAGTGGGCAGACAAACCCCACGCCAGGGCACACGGCCGGGTAAGCAGAATGCAGGGTAGGATCAGCCCCTCTCATGCCCTTAGCTAGCCGCACTGGTACAGCAGGCAGTCTGAACAACCATACTCAGCAACTAAGCTGGAATCTTAGTCCTGTCTGCAGTTTGGTCTTATTCAGTGTGGAACAGCTGTAAATCTATATGAAGGACAAAGAAACTGCCTTAAAACATCTCCTGAGCCACTGACCATTATGTGGCAAATGCTCTGATGGAACAATTACACTTCAGGGAGGGTGAGAGAAGCAGCTGGACCTGAACCAAGTCGAGACTGTGCCCATATTTATGTGGCCAGAATGACCAGGCCTAAAGTGTCGATCCAGGCACTTAACAGCTGATGTAACATGAAGAGGACTGTACAGCATTTTTTTCGAGTCCCTGTTAGAGAAAAATGTTTTTGGTTTGTTTTCAAAGTCATTTTCAGAAATAAGACACAGTGGGCCTAGAACACAGCGTAGTTGCCTTGACAGCTGAAGTCCTGGGTTTGTACCCTGGCTTTACTATTTAGTAAGTGGCTGATTTTGAGTAACTGAAGCCTCTGAGCCACAGTTTCTTCATCGATAAAAATGAAGATCATAATATCTTCATTATCAGGTTGAGAAATAAGATAAGGCTCTTTCTCTCTCCTCCAGCTCATTGTCCAGCTACCACTTATTTTTCAAGGCTGAGTTTGGGGCACCCTTTTTTAGAGGACTTCCTGGACCCCCCTCCCTCCCCAGTGCTAGGTTAGGTTCCCAGCCCTGTCCTAATACTTACCACACTGGATCACTCAGCCTGTGTCCCTGTCTGCCTCCCCTATTGGACTGAAAGCACCTTAGGGGTGGGCTCTGTGTGTCTGTCACCAGCACTCACTCAGTGCCTGACAGAACAGGTGTATGATACTTTTTACTTTTCTTTCTTGAGTTATTTTGAAATTTTTACTTTGGTGAAGCAAAATACTGCATCAAGACTTTGTGCAGCTTTCTCTCTGCATAAAATATGAAGCCTGGTGCTCTGGGGATGTTGGCAGCACCTAATGCAGCCCAAACACTCCAGGATGACCTCTCTGTAACGGTGGAGGAAGAAGATGAGAAAGAGAAGACAAGAAGGCAGAAGGCAAACATGAAGAGGAGCAAAGAGCAACACGGGAAGCAAGAGAAACCTGGCTCTGGGGCCTGTGAATGGGTGGTCACGTGAGGCTGTAGTCAGGGCCGGCTGCCAGATGCAGCAGTGCCTAGGCTCAAGGTTTGTGTGCAAAACACCCAACGTGTTGCCATGGTTCCCAAAGGGAAAAATCCAGCCTGCTCCAGGAATACCTCCCACCCTATCTTTGAGAGGAGGTATTCATTTTTCAAATAATGAAAGCAAAAGATTCTGTTCCTTTGACTGATCATATTTTTCCAAACCCCCAATTCAGAAATTGTGGCCCAGTAACAAGACATGTTATAGGGACCATAGCAGTAATATATGAAAATGAGCATACCAGAAAAATCCAAAATATCTGGTGGTCGCCTCCATGTTCTAAGGAGAGACACAAAAGAAAGAGACATTGAATATGGAAAAATTCCAGAGAAGTTTTATTCTCTCTCTTTTTTTGCCTTTTCTCACTCTGCTTCCCTTTCTAGTTCTCTCCTTAATTTACTCTGTCTTTAGGGAGAACGTATGCTGGCTTGCACAGCCCACTGCCTTTGCACAGGAGATGCTCAATGAGTATGTACTTAATTCTTTTCCTGGAGGACTGATGGGGTTATGGCTTCACAGAAGAAGCATTAGAAGTTTGAAGGCAAGATTGACTCAGTAGAAACAAGGATTCTGATACAAATTCTGGGTGTCAAAGCGTCCACTGAAATAAATATCCTGGCTGTCTTTCAAAAAGAAGGTGATCTTTAATCCCTGGAGAGACTAAGAGGCGAGGAGAGTTCTGCAAGCCATGAGTACATGCATGCGTGCACATGCACACATGCGTGCACACCCGCACACACATACCCCATGGCTTTTAGAGCTATTCCAATAAATAGATGCCATAAGAAAGGTAATAATAATAGCTAACACTGCTCTGTTTCAAACCACTTTTCTAATTGCTTTGCATGTAATTAGCTTGTTTGATTCTCACAACTGACCTATGGGTAAATACTCTGTAGTAAGCCTATTTTTAAGATGAGGAAATAAACTCAGAGAGGTTAAGTAACTTCCCCAAGATCCTAGGGCTATAATAAGGGCAGTGCTAGAATTTAAATTTTGGTAATCTAGCTTCAAGGCCTGAGTGCCAAACCATTATGCTATACTTTTAAAGATAAATCAGTAAACAACCCAAGCCAGCACACAGGTTGTACAAACACAGACAATGCCAAGTGGATGTTAATGTATAAATTGAGAATTCTCTTGTTGAAATCATTAGAGTCAAAACATTGCCAGTGCCTAGTAGGGACTGGTGAGAAGCACTTCATCTCTTACAGACATTTGGTGTTGACTATATGCCATAAGTAGAAGAAAACTTTTCTATTATTAAGTTGGATAGATAGGCAGAGAGACAGCCATTATTCCCATTTCACAGATGAGGAAAGTGAGCTCAGGGAGGTTCAGTAACTTGCACAAGGTCTCACAGCCAGATGACATGAGAACTCAAACCCACTCCACTACCCCAACGCCCTCACTCTTAGCTGAAGCTGCAGTTAGAGACCTCAGGTGGCTTTTAAAAGGTAACATCAGCAAGAAAGGGGCCCAGCATGCCTTCTAAGTCAAGGACTCTTTCATTATTTTATAGTGTCATTCTTAAAACTGAGAAGATTCTATAAGCAGGTCCGTGTAAAAGATAAGAACTGGAAACACCCAGATATGAGAACGAGAGAAGAGAATGAAGAAAGGAACTTAGTGGAAGCCTTGAGTGGCATGAAAATAGGAAATCAGAGGAAAGCACCAGCACTCCAAGAACAGACACAATTTCAGATGAAGTTGCACACAAAAAACTGCCACCTACTGGACAGACTAGTCAAGTGGTCAAGGTGGACAGGCTGAAATAGCCCCAAGCAGTTCCAGTGGAGCCTCTCAAATTCTGAGAAGGTGTTCATCCCACTGCGGCATTTCGGGGTTCTCTGAACCAGCGGCAGGAGGTGAAGAAGGGGTTGGCAATTTTTGCAAAAGCCATAGATTTGGACCTAACGGCCAGCTCCATTTGAGCTGGACTGTAGCTACGGTGCAGCAGCTCCTTCAGAATAGGGACCTATATGGTATGACTTTCAGTTCCACACTATTCTTTTGTATTTGTGCCAAGTGCCTAGCATAATGGCAGGCACTTTTTTGGGAGATTAATAAATTACACTCATTTGCTACCACTGAAGGATAAAACTCTGGGGAAAAAGACAAAATTTTGCTTCAGACACAAGGATTTTAAATCTTGAACACAATAAAAAGTAAAGACAAAGAGACAT